TATGCATAATATCATACCAGGGGAATGCATTCATGCATAAGATCATACCAGGGGAATGCATTCACACAAGATATTGCAGGGGAAACATTCACACATGCTACTCCTGGGTAATGCATTTACGCATAACGAAATACCAGGGGAATGCATTCACGCATAACACAATACCAGGGGAATGCATTCACGCATAACACCATACCAGGGGAATGCATTCACACAAGATATTGCAGGGAAATACATTCACACATGCAACTCCTATGGAATGCATTCATGCATAACATCATACCAGGGGAAAGCATTCACGCATAGTGCAAAGCTATGGGAATGCATTCATGCATAACACCAACCTAGGTAAATGCATTCACGCATACCATCATGCCAGCGGAATGCATTTACGCATAACATCCCACCAGGGAAATGCATTCACGCATAACACCACACCAGGGGAATGCATTCACGCATAACACAATACCAGGGGAATGCATTCATGCATAACATCATACCAGAGGAATGCATTCACACAAGATATTGCAGGGAAATACATTCACACATGCTACTCCTAGGGAATGCATTCGTGCATAACATCATGCCAGGGGAAAGCATTCACACATAGCGCAAAGCTATGGGAATGCATTCATGCGTAACACCAAACTAGGTAAATGCATTCACGCATACCATCATGCCAGCGGAATGCATTCATGTATAACATCCCACCAGGGAAATGCATTCACGCATAGCACCACACCAGGGGGGTGCATTCACGCATAACACAATACCAGGGGAATGCATTCACGCATAACACCATACCAGGGGAATGTATTCACACATAACACCATACCAGGGGAATGCATTCATGCATAACGCCATACCAGGGGAATGCATTCACGTATAACACCATACCAGGGGAATGCATTCGAGCATAACACCATACCAGGGGAATGCATTCACGCATAACACCATACCGGGGGGAATGCATTCACGCATAACACCATACCAGGGGAATGCATTCCCACATAACATCATACCAGGGGCATGCATTCCCACATAACATCATACCAGGGGCATGCATTCCTACATAACATCATACCAGGAGCATGTATTCACACAAGATATTTCAGGGAAAACATTCACACACAGCATTTTTGCATTGTATCATATTGTAGGGGCGTGTTATCTAACTTGAGTGTAATAACTCTTTATGCTAGAATTACTTTCAGTCGGATTCAATGACACTGTGGTTGGCAGAGAAAGATCGTGAAACTCGGTTACAAAATACACAACAGATACAACTAAACTTGACATTTTCACTCGTGACTGTGCCAATCAAATATAACGTTTGTCAGGCAACACAATGAGATAAAAGCGCCATATCGCACAAACATGTCCTCTGCTGTTGCAGCGGGGTGGATTCACACATTATATGACACAATATTGCAGCGGAATACATTCACACATAACATCGTGTAGGGGAATACCCTCACATAACACAATATTTCAGGGGAATACAACCACACGTAATTTATCACAATGCTGAAGGGGAATACATTCACACAAAACATTGTGTAGGGGAATACACTCACATAACACAATATTTCAGGGGAATACAACCACACGTGATATATCACCACATTTCAGGGGAATGCATTCACACACGATAGGCACCATATTGCTATATTGCTATTCACACATGATATATCCCCATATTGTAGGGGAATACATTTATACATTCATTTTATATTGCAGGAGAATACTTCACACATAACATCATAATTCAAGGGAATACCTTCACACATTGTATGATATCATATTGAAGGGCAATGCATTCACACATACCCGTGAAGATCCGGGGTAGAATTGGTCTTCAACAACACATGCTTGTCGTAAAAGGCGACTAACGGGATCGGGTGGTCAGACACGCTGACTTGGTTGATTCATGTCATTGTATCCCAATTGCCTGGGTCGATGCTTATGATATCAATCACTTGGTTGTCTGGTCCAGACTCGATTATTTACAGACCGCCGCCATATAGTTGGAACATTGCTAAGTGCGCCGTTAAAAAAAACAAAAACATTCACACATAACATCATATTGCAAGAAGAATGCATTCACGCATAACATCATATTTAAAGGGAATGCATTCACACATACAATAACACCATGTTTCGGGAAATTACATTCACATATGATATATCATCACATTGCAGGGGCATACATTCACACATACAATAACACCATGTTTCAGGAAAATACATTCACACATGATATATCATCACATTGCAGGGGCATACATTCACATATACAATAACACCACGTTTCAGGAAATTACATTCACACATGATATATCATCACATTGCAGGGGAATGCATTCACACATACAATAACACCACGTTTCAGGAAATTACATTCCCACATGATATATCATCACATTGCAGGGGAATGCATTCACACATACAATAACACCATGTTTCAGGAAAATACATTCACACATGATATATCATCACAATGCAGGGGCATACATTCACACATACAATAACACCACGTTTCAGGAAATTACATTCCCACATGATATATCATCACATTGCAGGGGAATGCATTCACACATACAATAACACCATGTTTCCGGAAAATACATTCACATATGATATATCATCACATTGCAGGGGCATACATTCACACATACAATAACACCACGTTTCAGGAAATTACATTCCCACATGATATATCATCACATTGCAGGGGAATGCATTCACACATACAATAACACCATGTTTCCGGAAAATACATTCCCACATGATATATCATCACATTGCAGGGGAATGCATTCACATATATACCAGGGAGCAACAGAGGCCATGTCTCCGCCTCGCTCTGCCTTACTCTGCTGAAGAACTTTAGGAACTTCCATCGCGCTTCGATCACGAGGACAATCAATTAGCTTCTACAAGTCATATTTAATTTTCCTAAGATGTTATTGTGCGAGATTAATGTCCTTAAAGCAAGCACGGGTCTGTCGCGGGGCACGTCCACGCGCCTCACAAGCAGTTCTACAATCGTACTCGCTACTCACAAGGGGCTATAAATACCTTTTTAAATGGCTTTACTTTGAAAGTTTTCTCATAAAACGTGCTTTTCTCAAAGACCTAGCATTAAAAGGGGCCAGGGAGTGAAATCTGCAGCAGCTCTATTCGTCACTGTACACGTGCAGAGGGCCATGCGGTGACGTGAGGGAGATCTTGCCACAACGGAAACTCTGCATCTCATGGCCAATCAGAGAAGCCAGTTGTTCCCGTGCCTACCACCACACTATGCACGCTAGCTATAACGGTCCAGTTTAATCTCGGAGCTACTTCTTTATCGGTACACCTAGCTTACTGTTTATACCTGTGTAATACAGTTGTGTCTGTTGTCTGTGCCAGCCTTTCATCGGCACCTACTCAGATGTCCTCCTGTTGGGGGGTATCCCACGTCGAGTGTCCCGAGCACCTGTCCTGTCTGAACCTTCAATTAGGATGAATCTGGCGAAGTTTTGAATGTGTTTTCTTATGCTCAAATATATTGTGTAAGCTCGCCTCATGTCTGGATATCCATTGTTTACGTATGTTTTGTATAAATATTGTCTAAGTTCAATCTAATGCCTGATATCTAGTGCATTCGTCCATGTTATCTTAATACTAGTGTGAACTCACACTTGTGCCTAAAGACACATCGTCTGTAATATCTAAATAACTTGTGTTAGGTCATTGTTATGCCTATTTTCTAGTGCTACCGTTATGGTTTTTCAAATGTTTGGGGTTTTTTAAACTCATTCTTATGCGTAATATTTAGTGCAATCGTTATATTTTGTCGAAATCGCTTGTGTTAGCTCATAATAGTACTTAAAACCTTGTTTCATTGACAGCTTCTAAATATTTTTGTATTACTTTACTTCTTATTTCCGTTCTTATTTCTTAGCCTATAATGCGCGTGTGTGCATGAACAGTTGTACGATCACCTACGGCGCGGCGACCACATTCATCATCAGCCATGCTGCACTATAAGCCATGATGTAGTGTATGCCATGATGTAGTGTAAGCCATGATGTAGTGTATGCCATGATGTAGTGTAATCCATGTTGTAGTGTATGCCATGTTGTAGTGTATGCCATGATGTAGTGTATGCCATGTTGTAGTGTATGCCATGATGTAGTGTAAGCCATGATGTAGTGTAAGCCATGATGTAGTGTATGCCATGATGTAGTGTAAGCCATGTTGTAGTGTATGCCATGATGTAGTGTAATCCATGATGTAGTGTATGCCATGTTGTAGTGTATGCCATGTTGTAGTGTAATCCATGTTGTAGTGTAATCCATGATGTAGTGTAATCCATGTTGTAGTGTAATCCATGATGTAGTGTATGCCATGTTGTAGTGTATGCCATGATGTAGTGTAATCCATGATGTAGTGTATGCCATGTTGTAGTGTATGCCATGTTGTAGTGTATGCCATGTTGTAGTGTATGCCATGTTTTAGTGTAATCCATGTTGTAGTGTATGCCATGTTGTAGTGTATGCCATGATGTAGTGTAATCCATGTTGTAGTGTATGCCATGTTGTAGTGTATGCCATGATGTAGTGTAATCCATGATGTAGTGTATGCCATGTTGTAGTGTATGCCATGTTGTAGTGTATGCCATGTTGTAGTGTATGCCATGTTTTAGTGTAATCCATGTTGTAGTGTAATCCATGTTGTAGTGTAAGCCATGTTGTAGAGTAAGCCATGTTGTAGTGTAAGCCGTGTTGCTATATGACGGCGGTCTGTAAATAATCAAGTCTGGACCAGACAATCCAGTGATTGATATCATGAGCATCGATCCACGTAATTTGAACACGATGACATGCATCAACCAAGTCAGCGAGCCTGGCCACCCAATCACTCGTTAGTCGTCTCTTACGACAAGCATAGTCGCCATACGGCAAGCATGGGTTGCTGATGATCTATTCCACCCCGGTTCTTCATGAAGCTCCCTAAATATGTGCCTTGTTATCATACATTACCAACAGATTTTCTTCATACCGCATGTAACCCACATATGTTTTCCCATACCGCATGTAACCCACAGTTTTCCCATACCGCATGTAACCCACATATGTTTTCCCATACCGCATGTAACCCACAGTTTTCCCATACCGCATGTAACCCACAGTTTTCCCATACCGCATGCAACCCACAGATGCTTTCCCATACCGCATGTAACCCACAGATGTTTTCCCATACCGCATGTAACCCACAGATGTTTTCCCATACCGCATGCAAACCACAGATGTTTTCCCATACCGCATGTAACCCACAGTTTTCCCATACCGCATGTAACCCACAGATGTTTTCCCATACCGCATGTAACCCACAGATGTTTTCCCAGACCGCATGCAACCCACAGATGTTTTCCCATACCGCATGCAACCCACAGTTTTCCCATACCGCATGTAACCCACATATGTTTTCCCATACCGCATGTAACCCACAGATGTTTTCCCATACCGCATGTAACCCACAGATGTTTTCCCATACCGCATGTAACCCACAGTTTTCCCATACCGCATGTAACCCACAGTTTTCCCATACCGCATGCAACCCACAGATGTTTTCCAAAACCGCATGTAACCCACAGATGTTTTCCCATACCGCATGTAACCCACAGATGTTTTCCCATACCGCATGCAACCCACAGATGTTTTCCCATACCGCATGTAACCCACAGTTTTCCCATACCGCATGTAACCCACAGTTTTCCCATACCGCATGTAACCCACAGTTTTCCCATACCGCATGTAACCCACAGTTTTCCCATACCGCATGTAACCCACAGATGTTTTCCCATACCGCATGTAACCCACAGATGTTTTCCCATACCGCATGTAACCCACAGATGTTTTCCCATACCGCATGTAACCCACAGTTTTCCCATACCGCATGTAACCCACATATGTTTTCCCATACCGCATGTAACCCACAGTTTTCCCATACGGCATGTAACCCACAGATGTTTTCCCATACCGCATGCAACCCACAGATGTTTTCCCATACCGCATGCAACCCACAGATGTTTTCCCATACCGCATGCAACCCAAAGATGTTTTCCCATACCGCATGTAACCCACAGATGTTTTCCCATACCGCATGTAACCCACAGATGTTTTCCCATACCGCATGCAACCCACAGATGTTTTCCCATACCGCATGCAACCCACAGATGTTTTCCCATACCGCATGTAACCCACAGTTTTCCCCATATACCACATGTAACCTATATATTCCAAACACAAAAATGGCATAAATATCATAAATAGTTTTGGGGATGCTTTAATGAAATTGTATGCTTAATCTCAACTCTTTTTTGTATATATGTACCTGAATATAACAGGTAACATCAGTTGCGAAAGTATATATGTTGTAATATTTGGCTCCATCAAAAGAAAGCAAACGGTTTTATTCGGATAGCGTGCAGCCACCACTGAAATTCATTCAGAAACCTTGTCCCAGGGTTATTTCAAAATAATTTGCTTGAGTGCCCAATGTCTGCCTATGTGATTGGTGTCTGTTCAGTTTGAATCAATTTATTTTTTACTTATGAAACCGTTCTTTCTGAGTTGAGTGTCGACCCCTGTGTTCCCAGTGCCGTGCTTCAGTCCAGCGATTCTGCTCCTGTTCAGGGGCGGACCAACAGTACTTAGTGTTTGCTGAAACCAATCTCAGCTTACGAAACCGGTGTTTGCTCAATATAAAATCTTAACTTAATGGTCTTAACGATACCAACCAATGCATGTTTTAGAGTCAGTGCCAAGAAGCTGAATCAATAAGGATATAGTAAGACAACGATTGCCTGTGATTTTAGAGAAGACATTAGTAGCTGGCTTTAAACACAATCACCGCCGTTGTTCTACATATGCACGGGTCGTAAGAAGTCTTTGTGATAGTTCAGATAATTTTCTCGATGTGATAACGATGATAATATTTTTATGTGTTATGTACCAGATAATCGGAATATGTACACTCTTCAAAAAAAGAAACGCACAGGTAGATTTTTAGTACCTAATGAAGTCGTTATATTGAATTTAATATCATAGATACAAATATGAAATTTTGGAGCTCGAAAGTCACATGTTGTCGTTGTACAAATGCATTGACAACTGTTGTCATGTCATATAAGGGCACAAGTTTGCGCTGAACTCAGTATCTCGTGTGACCGCCCAGGGCAGCAATTACGGCTCTGCATCTCCTCGGCACTGATTGGATAACTGTACGAATTCTGTCCTGCGGAATTCTGCGCCAGTCTGCTTGTAACGCGTTGGCGAGTTGTGGGAGTGTCTGTGGCGTATCCTGACGTTGACGTATACGTCGATCGAGTTCATCCAAGGTGCGTTCGATTGGGTTGAGATCTGGAGATCTCGACGGCCAGGAGTTGATGTTGGCATTATGAAGGTAGTCTACCGTGACACGAGCTGTGTGCGGTGGAGCGTTGTACTGTTGAAACAGCTCCCAATGGGCAGACGATAAGGTTGAAGAATTTGATTCCTGTAGCGATTTGCTGTCAAATTTCCCTGAACCACAACCAAGTCAGACCCCCCCACACCATGACAATACCGCCACCGAAATTGTCGAATTCACGTACACAATGTAGGGCGAATTTCGAATTGTCTTCCATCTCGCCGGTGAAGAAGAAAACGCGATTCATCGCTAAACCACACTCGTCTCCAGTTTCTCAAATTCCAAGGCTGTAAGGTATGGCACCAACGCAAGCGTCGCTGTCGATGGATCTGTTGCAAAACAGGGACGATAACTGGTCTTCTGGGTCGGATTCCAGCCTCGCGAAAATGGTTCCTGACAGTCTGGTCCAATATCCTCCTCAGACCAGGGATGCGTCCTGCAGTCTCCGTAGGTGTGGCATTGCGATTACGTAGGTGGAACAGTCGAATGTAGCGATCCTGTGCAGGCGTGGTAACTCTTGGTCGGCCGGTTCTCGGACGGTCAGTAGTGGAATTGAACTGTGTGTGTCGGCCCCAAAGGCGGCAAATGGTGCTGAAGTTGCGTGCAACAGAAGACTGCGATTCCCCTCTTTGGATACGTCCTATGACGATGTTCCGATCGGCAGCGCTGAGTCTCAGCATTTTCGAACTTGAAAAATGTTGACAATTGAATGACAAATTATTGGCCTATGTTTCCCTTTTTATAGCCACTACCACGAGTTACGAATGCCATAACTTGCACGTATATTTTGTTTTACTGTTTTCCTCCATGCCTTTTTTGAACAAATGTGAAAACAATGCTGTTTAAGACATTGCAAAACGACAATGGCTGTGTTTTGATGCACCGTTTGTCGAATACCATCCACCAACATTTTCCCATAACATATATCCAATTTATATACGGGATTTTTTGTGTAGTCAAGTTCAATGAACTACATACTACTTGTGCGTTTCTGTTTTTTTAAAGAGTGTAGATGGAATATCGAAGTAAGAAGACTGAGATTGACGCTGTTGTGACTTTATAACATAAGAGCAGCGCATGATGATTTTCAAGGTACGTGATGTACAGAAATGTGGTATTAATGTGAGTTAGTGGTATGTGCATATTTTTGTGTTGAAGATAGGTGGCACATGGCCATGGCGAGTTGAGGATATCAGCGGTCTGGATATGATATTTATGATAAACTGTATGTTTCGATGTGAAATTGAAGACAAGCGGCAGATATATATACACACACACAAACTGTGTGCGCCAGTGTCACATTTAATATTAGCGGTATTCGTTCATATTTGATATTTAAAGGGGAGCTAAACTCGGGCAAGTTGACAGTCCCAGCAAGTTCTATTCGAGTCGTTAGAACACTCCCAAATTGTTAAGTTGTGACGTTGAATATAAGTTATATTTAACAATGTAACATTGAAGATAGGTTATGTAACAATGTTACATTTAAAATAAGTTGAACGTAACACTGTAACATTGAAGATCAGTTGTATTTAAAAGCGTAACATTGACGATACGTTGCTGTAACAATGTAACATTGAAGATATGTTTATGCAACAAGGTAACATTGAAGATAAGTATTATATTACACTATAACATTGAACAATGTAACATTGAAGATAAGTTGCTGTAACAATGTAACGTTGAAGATAAGTGTATGTAACAATGTAACATTGAAGATATGTTGTATGTAACTCTGTAACATTGAAGATAAGTTGCATTTAACAGTGTGACATTGACGATAAGTTGCTGTAACAATGTAACATTGAAGATAAATGTATGTAACAATGTAACATCCAAAATAGTCTGTACGTAACACTGTAACATTGAAGATAAGTTGTGTGCGTCCTGTCCTTTATACGATAGTTAAGGTGAATTGTACGTTACAATGTGATACTAAGTATGTGCGGTATATAAACGTGTGGTGTTCAGTTCGAGGGAGCAGGACTTCCATGGTGGTTGTTTGTGAGCCATTGTTAAGGTGAGCCGGTGATGGATGACGTCACAGTGTTTGTCGCCCCGGTCATGATGGGCGTGTCAATGCTTTATGACATATTCATTTGACAGTGTTTGTCGTCCCTGTGACGCTGGGCTTGTCCACGCTATGACGTATTCATTTGATAGTGTTTCGGCTTGCCATATGATCCCCAAATAGATCTAATTTTAGCTGTTTGATGTGATGGCTTTGTGTGTAGCATGTAAACAATGCCAGGACTGAGATCTGGAGATCACATGCGCTTCGATGCCTCCCGTCGTCCCATCGCGATTCCCGGCTTATTTACGGGCCGTTTGCAGAATGAGATTGTTAGGACGCCAACTTTTACGACGGGTTCGAGGCTGTGATGAGGGCAAGAAGAAGCCTGTTAAATACGAACACATAAAAATGTGAACAAACATTGAAAGACCCCCTCCCCATCCTCCTCATCTCCTCCCATCTATCTGACGCAGCTCTGCAACTCGTTGTCCATATAGCTTCAGTCCAGCGTCCGGCGCTTGCTGATAAGACCGCTTCCACCACACCAGTAATTTGCTCAAATTAAGCTATCAATAGGACTGGCGTGAGGAGATTTATCTTGTGGAAATGGTGATGATGTGTACGGCGAGCCTGCTCAAGGCGGCTAATTGTAACCCACGGTGCCCCGATCCGAGCCCCCTTGCACTTGACTGCCCCGTCCTTCTTCCACAGCAGGGGGCGCTTCCAGTCAGCCATTTAGAAAGTCATTTCCGAGCTGGGATCGTTTAGATAAATGAAAGTCCCATGAAATAGACACTAAGGAAATGTGTGGGGGATCATACGCCACCCCGACTGACATCGTTTTAAATTGGAGTGGTCACATCCGACCGGGTGATCCTTTGACACTTGGATTCGCCTTGTTTCTTATGCGTTCCGCCCTAAATATACCAAATTTGTTTTCAAACTGTTGACAAATCGATAAAACTTCAATTATAAACGAGGAAAGGGCAGGTTGAGCTAAATTGTTACAAATGTTCGAAAATAATTCGAAGATAAAAAGAATCCTTAGTTTTCTGAAATCTATAATTTAGATTTCTAAATGTGAAAGGCGACACTTGAGATAAATTGTTACAAAGAAACTGAGACATCAAACTGCTAGCGCGGGATGATTGTTTCACTCCTCAGGGCACCGGAATCTGTTTACAAAGTGTTAACAATTATTGCTACACTTATCCTTTGATTTGGAATTACTTCAACAAACATACTGGCAGTTTTTACCTTATTGTCCTTCGATCATGCCGTGGGACCAGACGCAAGTCTCCTAACGCGGACCACTTTACATCACGCGTCAACTTGAGTCTCCTGACTTTCCTCACTCTCGCGTCAACTCAAGCATCCTAACTCGGGGCACTCTCGCGTCAACTGAACTTTCCTAACTCTCGGGGCACTTCCTCGTCAACTTCCTTACACGGGCCTCGGTTACACTTTATTGACCTCCTATACCTGATCAAGAAGAAAGCCTCCTTGACCTCCCCAACCAGGAACACAGGC